GGTGGGGGTCCCCGGGCACGGTTGTCTTTGGGGAGCGGAGCCGGGAGCAGGCGCCATCCCTGTGGCCGGGGGGGCCGTCCTCCAGCCCCAGCACCCCCTGAGTCCCACACACCTGGTTCTGGTGGTGCCCAGGCCCTATGCAGGGCCCGTGGTGGTGGTCCTGCTGCCAGCACAGCTCTCCTGCCGTCTTGCTGGGCCGTGGTGCCCCACACGGCTCCCTCCGAGCCGCTTTGAGGCCATTTCCAGAGGAAGATGCACAGGGCATTTGCTTTTGTTGAGCATTCCTGCCGTGGTCACCAAGGGGTTGTATGGAGCAGCCTTCCTGGTGTCTAAAATTGTGCCCTGGGTTAATTTGCCAATGGCGTGAATATCCTGTTAGCGCATAGCGGTGGGAGGCATTTTCGGGGATCAAGTATTTACAAATACTGTTGCCTGCCCTTGATCGGGATTCATTGCTGGCCTGTTCTCTCATACAGCCAGCAGCAGAGTACTGCATTCAGTAATTCAAAGGGCTGGAAGCAGGGAAGTAAATCTTAGATTGCTGTGCGTGCGTAAAATGTTCGCATATGGGATGAGACTAAGAAGAACACTAACGAGGACAGTGAAATAATGGCAAGGATTGAGCAGAGAGACTAATTGACTTTTATTGAGGCTCTAGCGGTTACACCTGGAGCAACAGAACTAGACCAAATCCACAGGTTGTAATGGGGTAAGGAGACCTAGAAAGCAGAAATACAGAAAAGGAAACAGGGCAGGCAGGGAAGAGCAGGTTTCTGCCTGTCCTTACATAACGGAGGAGTTTGCCATCAGTGAAGGGCAATGCACTGTGGGATTACATGCGCAGAGCTGGATGAAAAATAAGGTAAAAAGCCCTGCCATCGCCCATAAATTAAACACTCAGTTCAGAAGGACGGTGACAAAACCATACTTCAGAGAAGGCAGTGCAAGTAATAAGTGAGGGTGTGAGATAGGACAGCAAACAAATCCTCCAGAGCCTGGTGACATTTGCGTACAAGGAAACACGAAAGCCACATGTGTGCGGGTGGCTACACAATGAGTCAGGCATCACTGAAAGTTGCAACTAATCACCCTCTGTGCCCTGAGGAAAGTCCCTGCGCCGCCTCCGGCCACAGGGAGCTTTCTGCAAGATCGGGGCGGTGGGGGGGGGAGAATGTGAGCAACCAGAGTCCAGTGGGAGGGAGGAGAGAACTGAGCAAGAGCCATCAGGGAGACAGGGATGAAATTAAGGATGGATATTTCAGTTTAGGGTGAGCAGCAGGAAGATATTAACAGCTGATGATGTGGCAGGACCCATGATAATATTCTGTGCCCTACTGTGTGCCACCTCATGCACTTGGCTCTGTTGTATGCCATCCTCTGCCCTCTCCCCCTCTTTAATGCTGCCTGGCTTTCCTGGCTGTGAGATATGTCAGTATTAATCAAAGCAATACTTGGAAATAGTTTCTTTTATACTGCTATGGGAAATGATTCACATGATATCAGTTACCAATACTGAACATGGTCTTTCACAGAGCAATTGTGCAGCAGAAGCCAGGCCAGGAGGAGATGGTCAATGACGTGAATGTCTTTCCTCTCTAGTGTCCATGCTTTGAACTGGAGGTAGAAGTGACACGGGCTCTTTGTAATTTCATCCTGTCATTTTGAATCACACCAGGATCCTTATCAGCAGGTTTTTTTCAGACAACAGAAGGTATATTACCCTCAGTGGCATTTCCTTTCTAAAACAGCGTTCTGTGCTTTGATCAACATGTAAAGGACAGATGAAGAGTTGAGTGCAGTTTGATTTGATCTAACAAGCCTGGGATATGAGGAAAACATTTGCATAATACATAGCTCTGGACGCATGAGTTAGGGGCCAGTGCAATCTACAAACATTCTAGCTACAGCACAGGTAATATTTATGGAGGTAACCTCGAAACCAGATTAGAGAGAGACATGTCCAAACAGATTTCATGTACTGAAATGTCTGGACTTAAACTGAACAAAAGATTAAGTTGCTTTGCACAGTATGTTAGTGACTGGCGACTAGGAAGTAGAGTGTGTAAAATTCTCAGATAAGTTTTGAGGAAAGATGCCATCTAAAACTAACTGGGACTTGGATTTGATTCACTTCCAGTTTACAGCCCTGGCCTGGTTTTGAAAGAGACATTAATCTGATCTTTGCAAGTTCTCCTTGTGTTCTGTATAAATAAGCCTTGAATATCCTTAGCTTGTACCCCTCGAGGGCCCATCAAGAGCCATTTACTTATCCTTCCCTTTACAAGTGTGTCTGCTCCTGCCACGTGTCAAGTGTCTGGTTTAAAAGGGGAACCGGAGGTGAAGTGCCATGATGGGCATCCTGCAGAGACGCTCAGCTCAGCTCTGAGGTCAAGGGACAGCACAGTCTGAAACAGCTTCAGCACAGCAGAGGTTTTGATCTGCCTCCAAGCAGGGCAGCAGAAAGGCTGGCAGCAGTGAGCGTAGGCACTGAGAAGAACCAAATAACCTGGAGGTCATGACATTCTGAGGGGGTTTTGCCATTCAGATATGGGTGTGTCAGTGTGGGGGTAAGAAAAAAGAGCTGTGAATAGCTCCCGGGGCCTGGCGGTGTGCGCAGGAGCCGTGCCCACTGTCAGCGCTTGGAAACTGGCATGGGGCCATGGGAATCCGCTGGAATTCATCCCCGCAGGAAGTTCTCTCCGCATATAGCACTTCCTCCCCTGGCACCGGCTGCGTGCGGTGCCATGCTCCCATGCCACAAGCTGCAGTCCGTGGGGGCACACTTGGAGGGGAACTGGGAGCGGTGGGCAGAGAGGGGCCACACCTTCCCAGGAGATCCTCTCTCACATCCTGCCTGATGAGGGCTGGGAGGTGGGACCCCGTCTGGCAAACATTTCGACACCTGTTTCACTGTATTGAAGCGTGACTTTAAAAACCTCACTGAAACTTACGACCCTATGAACAGGGCTGGGAGGAACCTTAGGGCATTGCTTAGGCCATCTCCTACCCCAACGCAGGATCAACTCTGCTAAAAACTTTCTATACAGGAGCTTGCCTAGTGTG